CAGCTGGGTCTGTGGGCGGAGCATCCTTGAGGTCATCTGCACATTCTGACTGGGAAAAGATGGTCAACGTCTTGAAAGGAGTGCTTATAGAATGTGATCCTGCCATGAAGCAGTTTCTGCTGTATTTGGATGAGTCCAGTGCCCTGGGGAAGAAGTTCATCATTCAAGACATTGATGAAACTCATGTCTTTGTAATAGCAGAGTTGGTTAATGTCCTCCAGGAGCGAGTGGGTGAATTAATGGACCAAAACGCTTTTTCTCTTACCCAGAAGTGAAAATAGTAGATATTGACCACTTGGGAATTACAAGCAGCAAATGTGAAAGACTTACTTGCTTAGGAGCCTGCTGTGGGAAAGACAGAGGGATCATTTGCCAGAAAAAAGTGCCCTGAACTGATTATTTTGTACCCTAGAATTACAAAAACAAAACAAAAAATCTTTAAAAAAAATTACAATAACTGGAAATAACCCTTTGGATCTGCTTAACAGCAGCAGTCTGAGTATAACAGAAGTTAGGATTAGCGAACTGAAAGACGGGTCAATAGAAAGTATCCAAATTGAAGGACAGAGAAAGAAGAAAAGAACATAACAGAACTGTGGAAAGATCTAATATATGGGTAATTGTAGTCCCTGAAAGAGAAGAGAAAAAGAATGGAATAGAAGGAATATTTGGAGATAACAACCAAGAATATTCTAAAACTGATAAAAGACATGGATTTTTCAGATTCTAGAAATTCAGCAAACCCCAAGTCGAACAAAAAACCAACATCTCTCAGAAATATTAGAAGTAGTTTCAATTCATAAATTTACTGAAGACAATTCTTAAGTTAAAACAAAGGAAGAAATTTTGACTATAAGGCAGGTTTCATAGGCCCACGCAGTTCTATTAATATAACACTAAACAGTGGCATGAGTCACTGTGGCAAGAGCTAGAAATGTCCACACAGAAGAGAGTGTGAAAATTATGTACTAAACAGAGCCCACACTCAAATCAGCCCTTGAGTGCCAGAGAAAAAGAAGGGTTCAAAAGAGAAATGGAAATTAATAGGTTTTGATTATGCTGGTGGGAAGTCAAAACCAATAAGCTCAGTAAGCCATAGTTAGTAACTGGAAACTGAAACTGCCAACCTGTAAATTTCTAAATTTTATAACAACATAGCAAGAGCTCAAGAGTCCTTCCCTGAAAGAGGAGATGACTTGTATAGGTGATTTCCACTTCTACCCAAACACAGTACCATAATTAAACACAGTACCAAATTAACCTCTTAATGGGAAATATTTCTCTCAATTGACCTTATGCTTACTGATCATAGGCTCAGATAACTGGCATAGAATGGCTGTCAGGTCAGATAGGGTAACACTGGAATGTTCCCTCCTCCTTCTCTATCCATGACACTGAGTTTCTGCTATTAATTAATATAATGTTTGGAAACAATTATATGGGTCTGAATTGTTCCAAATATTGCACGGGGTTATGATAACATCATTTTGTTTGGTTAAGCTCCAAGACCTTGAAATTGACATTTTAAAAAATAGGCTCTATTTTTTAGAACAGTTTTAGGTTCACAGCAAAGTTGAGAAAATGGTAGAGAGATCTCCCACATACCTCTTGCCCCCAAGACACACACAGACTCCCCCACTATCAAAATCCCATACCAGAGTGGCGCAGTCGTTACAATTGATGAACCTACATTGACGTGTCATCATCATCCAAGGTCCATAGTTTACATTACGGTTCACTCTTGGTGTTGTATGCGCTATGGGTTTTGAGAAATTTAAAAGGTGAGAGATTTATACAAGCTGAAGAGAAACTGGTGTATCGGATTTCAACAAACACATAATGGCATGTATCCACAATAATAGTATCATTCAGAATAATTTCACTGCTCTAAAAATCCTCTGTGCCCCACCTAGCCATCCTTCCCTCTTCCCACTCACTGGCAACCACTGATCTTTTACTATTTCCATAGTTTTGCCTATTCCATGGTGTCATATAGTTGGAGTCTCACCATATGTAGCCTTTTCAGATTGGCTTCTCTCACTTAGTAATATGTATTTAAGATTTCTCCATGTCTTTGCACAGCTTGATAGCTCATTTCTTTTTAGGGTCGAATAATATTCCACTATGTGAACGTATCACAGTTTAGTTTTCATTCAGGTACTATAGGACACTTGGTTGTTTCCACATTTTGGCAGTTATGAAAAAAGTTGCTATAAACATTCATGTGCAGGTTTCTGTGTGGATATAAATTTTCAACTCTTTTGGGTCAATATCAAGAAGCATAATTGCTGGATTGTAAGGTAAGAATATGTTTAGTTTTGTAAGAAATGCCTGTCTTCCAAAGTGGCTGTACTATTTTGCATTCCCACCAACAATGAATGAGAGTTCTTGTTGCTCCACATCCTTGCCAGGAGTTGGTGTTAGTGTTTTGGATTTTAACCTTTCTAGTAGGTGTGTAATGGTATCCCATTGTTGTTTTAATTTGCACTTCCCTAATGGTTTATGATTTTGAGCATCTTTTTTTTTTTTTTTT